GTACACCTGGCCTGAGCACACCACACAACACACCACCACACAACACCACACCGGCCTGACACACACAACTACAACACCACCTGACACCACACAACACAACACACCACAGCACCACACAACCCACAACCTGGCTTTTACAAGCACCACACAACACAACACACACCCACAACACCACACAACCACAACACAACACACCACAACACCACACAACACCACACAACCTGCATGCAGCACACCACAGCACACACCACAGCTTCCCCCCCACACCACAACACACACACAACCTGACACAACACCACCCTGACACACCACAACCTGGCCTGGCCACAACCTGACCTGGCCTGACATAACCTGGCCTGGCCTGGCCTGGCCACAGCACCACACACAACACAACACCACACAACCTGACACAACCTGCACACACCACACCACAACCTGGCCACACTAGCCTGGCCACAACACAACACACCACAACACCACACAACACAACACACCACAACACCACACAACCACCACACACCACACACCACAACACAGCACAGCCACAACCTGACACCAACGCACCCAGCACCACAACACACCTGACACCACACAACACAACCTGACACCACACAACACACCACCAACACAACACACCCACGGCACACACCTTGCACCTGACTACCACACAACCTGGCCACAACACCACACCAACACAACACCACACAGCACACCACAACACAATACACCCTGACACCACACAACACACAACCCCACAACACAACACAACCTGGCCTGGCCTGGCCTGGCCTAGCACCACACAACTTACAAGCACCACACAACCTGGCCACAACCTGGCCTGACACACCTGACACCCACACAGCACACCACAACCACCACACCACACACTGGCACAACACAGCCACAACCTGACACACCCTGACACCACACAACACACCACAACACCACACAACACCACAACCTGACACCACACACCAACCTGACACAGCCTGACCTGGCCTGGCCTGGCACAACCTGGCACAGCACCACACCGGCCTGACACAACCTGACACACCTGGCCTGGCCTGACCTGACCTGGCCTGGCCTGAGCACAGCCCTGTACCACGCAACACAGCACCACACAACACAACACAACACCACACCACACACCACAACACAACCTGACACAACCTGGCCACACCACAGCACCCACCTGGCCTGACACACCACAACACCCACACAACACCACACCACACACCACAACCCACAACACAACACCAACCCTGACACACACCACAACACCACACAACCACCACAACACCACACAACACAACCTGACACCACACAACACACCTGACACAGCACCCTGACACCACACAACACACCACAACACCACACAACACAACCTGACACCACACAACCTGACACCACACAACACACACACAACACAACACACCCACAACACCACCAACACACCACCAACACAACACAACACACCCTGGCCACCACACAACCTGGCCACAACCTGGCCTAACCTGGCAACCACAACCACAACACCACACAACACACCACAACACCGCACAGCACACCACAGCACCACACCACACCACCAGCCTGGCCTGACACCAACCTGACACAACCTGGCCACCACACCACACAACCACACCACAACCCACAACCGCACCACAACACCGCACAACCACACACCACAACCTGGC